AACTTGTCAAATGTAACAAATAAAAAAGAAAATTCATAAAATAAACATTTAATCAAATATTGCCAGATTAAAAATAGTTCATTATAATTATAACATTTGTAAATTTTTCAATTTTTAGGATCAGAACCTAAACCATCTTTTCTATATTAATTATATTTTAACTGTTAAATTTTAATAAGAAGGAAAACTGATACGGTATAGTTCAGCTAATCAGTACAGTATGATTATGCAAATCAGTATGATTCTTCAAATTTTGATCGTATCATACTGATTCTATAATATTATTGAATTCAAACAGTACGATTAAAATTTGGAAAAATATCGTATTATACCGTACTAATCTTATAATAAAAAGCATTTATATATAGGATCAGTACAGTATAGTATAATACTTCTTAATAACTGACTGTATCGGTTTTCTATATATATCCTATGTTAATAATCTCAATGATATTAATAATGATTGATGTTATATTTGTCAAAGCATTCTTGAATAAAAAAAAATTTTTTTTCAAAAAAAAAATTACTTAATAAAAATTAATAAATCGAGAAAGAAAAATTAATACAAAATATGATCATACCATACTGGTCTCAATAATATTATAGAATTAATACAATACGATTAGTATTTGAAAATTCATACTGATCTGTAAAATCATACTGTACCGATCAGCCGAACTTTACTATACTGGTTTTCTTTATACTCTTAAATTTTGAATATTACAAGCAGTTTTTTTATTAATAAGCAAAATAAGTTATACAAAATAAACAGATGGTATAATAGGGGTTATATATAAAAAAAGGAATAAAAAGATATATTTTTATTTTTTTATTTTTAATCATTTTTATATTTTTATTATTAGAATTTATAATAGAACTTCAATTTGGTATTCTAATACTTCGTTATCTTTTCTCTTTCTTTGCTTTCTTTTCTTTCTTTTTTCTCTCATCTTTCATCTTATCTCAACACTTTCTTTTATCTTTTATCTCTTTCTCCTTTTTTTACAATAATTTGGGAGCTTTGCAATAGAAAGGGAGGAAACTCTAAAAAAATTTTTTTTTGAGTAAATGTTAAATCTGGACTTATTTTACAAAAAAAATCATAATTAGCTTAGAAAGTAAAATTTTAATTTTTTTAGAGTTTCCTCACTTTCTATTGCAAAGCTCCCATTTTGCTTAAAACTAATTTTAATAAAATTACTGATAATGAAATCCTTGAATTGCAGAATTATCTTCAAATATAATAAAGATTTAAAGATTAGTTAGGAAGAAGTTTATAAAAAAATAATAGTTTTAGAAATTTTGAAATCAATTATTTCTTCTTTAATGATTTCTTATCTAAATTTAAAATTGATAAGAACTTTATGATTTGAGTTGTACATTTAATCATCTTTTTAATTCGTAAAAAATAATAAATTTAGATCAAATTTTTTTAAAAAAAATGATAGTTTTAGAAGATTTTGAAATTATTTTTTCTTCTTAATGATCTCTTATCTGAATTTAATATTGACAAAAGCTATATGATTGAGTTATACACTTGATTATTCTTTTGATTCATAAAAGAATAATGACTTTAAATCATTTTTTTAACTTTTCTTTCAATAATATCTTCTATTTATATAATAAAATCTATCAATTTTTTTAATTATAATCATAAAGTTAGATGTTTCTGTATTTCTAAAACTCTTAACTATGTGTTACCAAACAAATAAAGTTAAATTATTAGAAGATTGTAAAAAGCAATTAAAATGTCAAAAACTGACTTTTAATATAAGATTAAAAGGAACTCAATTATGTTTATTAATGTTAATCATAAATTAGATTTAATTCTGAAGTATAAAATAATTTGTATTTGTTCTGAATTATTATAAGACCTTAAAGTAATTAAAAAAAATTAATTAGCTATTTTTTATGTAATAATAGGATTGTAAGAAATGTAGCCTTAGAAAAGATTTCAAATTTTTTTGGGAAATAAGATTAAGTTAACAGTGAATAAACACATATTGTTTATGAAAAAGAATATGAAAATTCTGGGAAGTTAATTAGTTATAGTTTTTAAAAGAACTTTGATTCTTTTTCAGATTTATATGCTAATAAAAAGTTACTGAAAAAATCTAGTCTGAAAGAATAATGAATATTTAATAATAATGAAAATATGTTAAAAGGGTTTTATAATAATGCTAAAATTGATATATTTTAAATAACAAATTTATATAAAACATTTAAAATTAATGTTAATTTGAATAAAAATAAATTATAGGCGTTTTATTTTTTTGCTAAGAATTATGAAGCTATCCTTTAGATTGTTTAGCAGGCAAATTTGCCTTTTGCCTCCAAATGATTTCTGTAAAAATAAAAAAAAATCTTCTCAACCCGCCAATTCATATTTAGTTGTATATTCATATCTTGAAAAATGATGAGAATAAACAAGGTAATTTTTATTTCGATAATCGAAGATAATGAATACTAATTTAACTGATTTTTAGATTCTTGAGTCAAGTATTTCTAGATCAATTAAAATTAATTTCTCGATGAATTGTATTTAATTATAAATTTAATATAATGATAGGTTTGAATATTATCCGGTTTTGTGGTTCCTTATACAAGTATCAAAGAAAAATGAAAATTAGAACGAAATAGCAAAATAAGTATTAAGATTTTATTATAATTAATGAAAATCAACATTTAAACATAAAAAATTTTAACATAGATACAAATCTTTATAGAATGTGAAGATTTAAGTAATAGTACAACGATTAGTTTTTAAATATTCTGGTACGATTATCATTAAGGAATCGGGTAAATTTGGCAAGCTAGTTATTGGAGTATTGCAACAGTTAAGATGAGTTAAGGAGTTGGGTAAAGTTGGTAGGATAGTGATTGGAGTATAAGAGCAATTAAGTTCCGTTAAGGAGTTAGGTAAAATTGGTAGGATAGTTATTTGAGTTTTATAACAAAAGAGTTTAGTTAATGAGTTGGGTAAAGTTGGTAGGATAGTTATTGGAGCATCAGAGCAAATAAGTTCTTTTAAGGAATTAGGTAAAGTTGGTAGGATAGTTATTTGAGTTCTATAACAAAAGAGTTTAGTTAATGAGTTGGGTAAAGTTGGTAGGATAGTTATTGGAGCATCAGAGCAAATAAGTTCCGTTAAGGAGTTTGGTAAAGTTGGTAAGCTGGTTATATTGGTAATATTTGATAAACGGAGCGTTGTTAATTTGCGATATCTTTGCAATCCTCCTAAGACATTTAAGATGCCATTCATATTATATTCAGTAATCTTTAAACATTCAATAGTATCGTCATAAATAATATTTGATATTTCATTATCTAATTCTTCTTCTACATTGTTCTGATCAAAATGATGAATAATTTCGTAATTATTTGAAATATAATTATTCATTTGATGATTTATCTGAATAATTTGAGAAAATTCTCCAAATGAATTATTTATACTAGAAGTAGCATAGGTATTTTTCGAATGACGTTGAAGAGTTGCTTCAGTAGTTATGTTGGTTATCGTTATATTAACAATTGCATTTAATTTACCAACTACTTGGTTCATTGATGGACGATTATCTGGATCATTATCCCAACACGCTGAAATTAAACAAAAAAATTTAATAATTATTTATATTATAATTAAATCCATAATCATATATTTACCAGTGTAAATGTTCACATAATCTTCAGGTGTGCCGGGAATAATCTTTTCTCTAAGTCCTCCAAAAATTTCAATAGCTAAACCTAGGTCATATTCTTCATCTTTAATAAAAAAAGGAGGATGACCGCTTGAGATTTCCCATAAAAGTACACCAACACTGTAAACGTCGCTCTTTTCGTTTAGCTTAAATGGTGTTGATGTATTGTCATTTCTTCGTTTGTTAAATACTTTCGGGTCAACATAAGGAATAACTCCAAAGGTTTTTGATTGATTAGTTGCTGCATCAATTCTTTTCGATAATCCAAAATCTGCTAATTTAACAACACCTTGACGAATTAATATATTTCCGGAATGCTATTTTAAATACATATATAAAATTCATTAATAATGTTTAACAGTAATAATAAACAAAAAGATTATATTATTCAAGATTTACCAAATCACGATGAACAATTCCTTCTTCATGTAAAAACGACACAGCACAAGCCAACTGGTGTGCGAAGTTATATTTATCTTCCCAAATAAGATTATCAAAATTCTCCTTCAAATAATTTCTAAGTGAACCGCCATCAGCATATTCCATTACTAACAAATATTTTTTCAATTGATCATTTTGATTTTCTAAATTTTTTTTTTTAATTAATAAAAAATGAGTTAAATCAAAGATCAAAATATATAGTCTTTATTATGAATATTTACCTTGATATGAGGTTATCCCACAAAAACGGATAATATTATCATGAAAATCAACGTCCTGTTGAAGTTCAAGCTAAATTATTACAAATAAAATTTTAATTTGATTCATAAATAATTTATAATAAACAGACGAAATACATATTGTGTTTTACAATTACCTCACGAATAAGTTCTTTCACAGTTTCATTGTTAAATTTATGAAACAATTTTAACGCTAGCTGTTGATTTGTACTTTTCCAATTTGCACGATAGACTTTTCCAAAGCTGCCAGTACCGATTTCTTGAAAATTGCTAAAATGTTTGTATTCGTAGTATTTGATATTTTTTCTTGAAATTGTTTCATCAATACAATTAACCCATTCAATCGAATTGTTGACAGCTTGCATTTTGATTAATTAAATTTATTATAAAGCGGAATGAATTAAAAATTCTTGGAGAAACAAAAAAAAAAAATGCACGCGGTAAATCATGTAACAACCAAATTTTTATAATTTAGTGTGACGAACGCACGTGAAAGATTTTCTTTGATGGCTTTCTTTGAAAAATAAATCACGTGATAAAATAAATATGGATAAATATGTCAATTAAATAATATCGGTATCGATATACTGGAAGTTTAAGGTTTTCCGTTCTATATTAAAAAATGTCGATCGTGATTTCTGGATTCAGCGTGATTGTAATCACATCTGCCAACAAGGTCGAAGTTATCTTTAAATGTCGGAATATTCGAATTGATATTGTTAGTGGATAATTACAATTTACTCAAATTAAACTAGAACAACTGAACCCATCCATTGGAAGTTAAAATTATACAAACATAGTCGTCCACCGGTCTATTTTATCTTTGTCTTTCGAACGGGAATCTTTCGAACTCATCAAAGGAACATCGTGGATATAATCAACGATGTTAGCAATATTTTAATTATAGAATCATCTATTTTTGTTTCGTTTTGCTTTGAAGTACACAAGTTAAGACCAATTATAAAAGTAAACATAGTTTTCGATTTCCAAGATTCACTGATTGAAATGAGACAACAAAGCAAACAATAAACTGCAAATGATTCAATCACAAGGTATAATGTAATGTTAAAATATCATACGCTGCGAAATGCTGGATTCAATAATAAAATCACAGATCCAACAAAAGAAATCTTTGGATGGGATTTTGTTGGTTACTCAAGTCTAATTTAGAAATACTTGGAAAGGATCCGTCCAAATATCACGTCTTGTAATAAAGCCGCTTCACTGTAATTCGAAAGCTTGTAGCAACTAATTTCTGAAACAAAAGTAATAATAAAAAAGATATTTAAAAACGAATCAACGAAAATTCTTAAAAAGGAAGAGCAAAAAATTTTTTTTGAAAGTTTCTTAAAAAAATAAGTATTTACTTTTTTTGCGAAATAAATAAAATAATTTACCATCTCCTGGAGTATTATAGCACGTTTTCTTGGTAGGATTAATTACCAAAGCGTTTCTATTAATAAAAAAAACAAATAAACGTGTTTATTTATATTCAAAATCAAAATCAAATTCATTTTTACCATAAAAGCAAACGGAAAATAAATTTAATTAAATAAGAATTAATTTAAAGTAATAATGGAGATAATATACGAAAAATGAGAAAGTAAATAAAGTGAAATAATACAATTAGTGATGCATCACTAGTTATCACACCACAACCCGCCGTCATAGTATTATTCTCTCGTTACATTATGAAGTGACTGAACCTGAAAAATTAAACGAAAAATCAATCAAAGCGAAAATAAAAAGAAAGAAGAATAATTACCATTAAAATCAGTAAAAAAAATGCAGCTTTAAATAAAGTATAAAACAAAAGTAATTAAAAGACAATTACAAATTCTTTTAAAGCGATTAAATAAGCAAATAAAAAGTAAAAGAACCAATTGACAAAACACAACTATTAAAATTCCTGACATAATTTTCCTCCCGCTACCTGATTTTGAACTGTCGAAGAGACCATTCTATTGAAAGAGAGGTAGAAATATACGTAAAAAACCACTACCATTATTGTATTTAAAAATGGTAAAAAATACCTTAGTTTGAATATATTTGATAACAACAAAGTAAAAAAAAAATCATTGGATCTAATTTATTTATTTATTTATATATCACATGAATAATACAATTTAAAAGGATCAGAAAATAAATAATTACAACTTCTTATGAGTACTGTCTAGTTGGATAGTGCGTGAGATTTTCTTAGCCTGCTAATCTCGGGTACGATTCTTGCAATATGACAATATATTGGATTTTCTGTTGACAACAAGTTTCAAATAAGGTGAATGATCATCATTCCATGGGAGCTATAGAAGTCTTGTAATGGTCAATGATCCAGTCCATACATGGATGGCTGAGGTGCTGGTTACTTAAGGGGTTTCCATGTTGGGTCAGGTAGTTATCGACTTTGTGGGGTCTAGGGGATAGTGGCTTATCAACTATGTGCCTAATTTCCTTAGAGCGAGGGAGTAAGCTTTAACTATCTGATCCATGACCTTGGAGGCAAGATGTCCGCAGTCGTTCCAATGTCAACTCATAAGCAATTTTTTTTAGTAATTACACCGTTTTATTTATACTATTATGTGAACTTTTTAATAAAATTATAAATAAACAATTAGAACATTACATTTTATTTCTTGTAACTCATTAAAAACTTGTCAAAAAAAAGATAAATTTAATTAATTTCGGCATTATCGAGGTTATATTATTGTTAAATAACGAAACTAGAATAAGTGACTAAATTTATGTCAATGACGAGGAAGACAATTTTTTTTTACATTTCAAAGTATGATTTTGCTTAAATAATTCTTGCTGGACAATTTAGGTCAAAATTACAAGTCGCTTTACTTTAATGAAATTTTATTGCGATTAAATATTATGAGCACAGCACAGCATATAGATGCAATAGGTAAATCTATACATTCTAATCTTAGATAATAAAAATTATTGTTTATTATAAAAATTTAAGTAAATTGGCAAATTATCATTTTTCTAATCAGTTTCCGATATAATGCCGTGCTGGAAAGATTAATATCAGCGGAATAACGAAAAGATTGCATTAATGAAGGAGGTTTGCTAGGGAAATGGGGCTCTGAGCATTTTTTATTAAAATTTTAATTTTTATTGCATTTTAATCTAAATAATAAAAAATTCTCTGAGCCCCATTTTCCTAGCAAACCTCCCATATATTCAATGAACGTCAGAATGATCTTTCAAATGTACTATTTATTTAATCCGTTAGAATTTTAAAGTTAAATAGGATTTAACAAATTGTCGTTTAAAAATCCTTTTATAGTATATTTGGATTCAATTTCCACTATTATCCAACATTTCAAATAATAACAAGTCAAGTCTTCTTTCCTTTTAATATTGCGCAATTCTGGTTTATAGAACAGTTGAATTAATTATTATATAAATCGAATATAAATTTATTTATTAAATATGATGCATGTTTAATTCAAAAGTTATTTTCCAAATGAAGAAATGATTTAAGTCTCGTTGTCCAGTTTCTGGCGGTATCCCATTTGTAATTCACTACAATGAATTTTATAATAAAAGTATAAAGTTCAATTTTACGCTAATAAATTAATTTGCAAATTTAGCAAAAATAATCACTAAATTTACCTTTTTAAAGAACAAAATTACTAGATTGGCAACCTATAAGGCGGCCGTAAATCAGAACACCCAGCTCACAAGTAATCGGTTCTCTACAATTTATCCTGCAAATGTTGCAAAAAGGAAAAAGCGAAGTAGTTCAAAACAAAAGATCAAGCGTGAGGAACGAAAGCCAGAATGAAATTGTTGAGAATGAAAGCATAAGTGTGAGCGAGAAAATGTGCGAATAAATTTGGTAAATTATAACAAATTTAATAAAAGTTTTCAGGCCAAAACATGCGAAATTAAGAATATTAAATCTTGCGATTACTTAATAGGAAAAAAACCATTTTAAAAAACAATAATAATGATTATCAACATCAACTGGTTCGCCTTCAAAAATTCCAACGTTTACCTCGGTCGAAACCATCGTAGGTTGGCTTCATTCTATAAAGTTATTTACAGTATCTAAATAAAAGATAATGTTATCAGTATTGACAAGTTGAATCTACTTTGCCTTATAAAAATAAAAGGCATTGCACCAATAAACAGTAAGAAAGAGAAAAGGCTTTATTTTTGACCTATGGTAATCTAAAGCTGAAAATGATAGAAAATTTCAAAGATTTGTAATAAGCTGAAAATTTACCCACCATCATTATGATTCCGTTTGATATGGTATACCTGATTCCGCAACCTTGAGCGAATGGAACGTGTCGTGTGTGATTGATTATTTATTTCGTTCATCTAATAAAAAAAAATATGTAAATTTTGCAGGTGGATATGTAAAAAAAAAAGATAACTTTTTTGCACTAGTAAAAAAAATAATCATGTGAAAGTATATCAATATTAATTTTATTCATTGAATATTTAGGTAAAAGACCTCTTGCTATCCAAATTATCATGATACTATAAAAATCTAATAAGCAGACTACCTAACTTGTCATGCGAGCATTGTCGACAAAGCTAACTTCGGTATATAGTTTGGTTATCGAAAAAAAATAAAGCTTGATAAAACAACTTTTTGGCAATTATTTTGTAGATAATCTTATTTTTTTTTTTTAAAGAGAACAAAAAAATACTGCTGGACATTTTATATCAGCTATCATTCATGGATTATAGTGTTGGAATGCGCATAATAGAAAATATATCACTAAATAAATATTACTCTTATTTCACAGAAATACTTATAAAAAAAACTTCATTAAAATTAATTTGAAACTACTTGGATAAAAAAAGATAAAAACAGTAAAAAAGCATACAATAATA